CTTGTGGTTCCCCAACCTCAAAGAAGTTTTAGAAGAATCAATTTGAGTCTCCTGAGGATGTCAAAACTGCCAGTTAGGGTTGGAATAAACCAGATCACAGGATTCTTCGAGGGAGGGTCAGAGCCCCAGAATCACCGCCTGCAGAAGCAGACAGACAGATGGAGGATATGTCAAGAAACAACCTTCTCACAGTGTTCTTTTTTTGTTCAATAAAGGTATCTATGCTTTTGTTGCAATACTTTGACTTATCTTTGCATTTCCATTTAGCATGTGGTCATACTAAAATAAAAACAAACTTACTGCCATCAAGTCATTGATGACTCTTGGCACCCCTACAGCACAGGGTAGAACTGCCTCTGTGAATTCCGAGACTGTAACTCTTTATGGAAGTAGAAAGCCCATCTCTCCCCTTTGGAGTGCCTGGTGGCTTCAAACTGCTGACCTTCCGGTTATCAACCCAACTCGTAACCACTACGCCACCAGGGTTCCATGTACTAGAATGGGATGGGTGCTCATCCAATCCGAGTGCTGTTTCTTGAAAAGAGAAAGCAGACACATGAAGAGAGACAAATGGAAGATAGCAAGTGAAGAGGTTTCCACAAGCTAAGGGAAGCCTGGAGAGACAAGAAAGGCAATTCCTCCAGGCTCTACAGCCTAGAGCCTTCAGAGAGAACACGGCTCTGCAGACCCACTAAGTGTTGACGACTAGCATCCAGATCCCTTTAAACACACCTCTGTTGCTTAAAGTCATATACGTTGTAATGCTTCGTTCCAGGCACCTTGCAAAACGAATTTCACTGCTGAGAGAGGGAAAAGGAAAGGCTGTGGAGTTCTGCAGGTCCTATCCCAGAGATGAACTTAGAAACCTAAGGGGAAACCTGAAGGAGAGAACCTGAACAGGGCCCCTTGAAGGCAAGATTCAGAGTGTGCTCCTCCCCAGCTGTGGAGGTAAGAGAACTTGCCGAAGGGCACCCATCATTGAGTCGTAGGTGTCCCTACCTCCTGACCTGTTCACGTCCAAATGGAAGTTCAGAACATTGAGAGAAGGCAGCCCTCCCTGTTCCCCTGCTGACATCGCAGACTCTCTCCATCACCCTCAATTGGAAAATCATAACCCTCGTCTCCCAAGTGGAGTACCTGCCTTCATTTGCCAACCAATGCACTCCACACACAGCCACCACCCATCTGCCAGTGGTGGCTTGTTCGGTCCTGTAACGTAACAGGTTTCCGTGGAGTTTGCCGACTAAGACCCACTAGGAAGAAAAGCTTGAAGATCTACTTCCAAAAGCCAGGCAAGAACACCCTATCGATCACAATAGCCTGATCCTGAGTGACCGGGCAGTGCTTCATGTCCTTGTGCATGGGTGAGGCACTATGAGCCCAGGGAGCAACTTGTTCACAGCCAACAAAACATAACTTTGAGCCCACGGGCAAAGAAGAAAGGCCATCTGCAGAATCCCGGCTGAGTCTCACAAAGCAGAGGGCAGAGGCAGGTGAGTCGGCGCTCAGAGGCAGTAAGTCCATTTCTTCCGCTTCTGGACTCTTGGAGACCCTAGCAGACATCTCTGTGGTAGCATCTCTGCAGCGGAAGAGCATCTATCTCGTGCAATTTCCCAAAGCTCAGTGCTGTCGGGCAGCGCCCTCCACAGCGTTTTCAAGATGTGACCTGTTCTCACAAGCTGAGTTGGAATCCCCGACCCTTCACTCAGCTGCTATGTGCTTAACCACGGGGCCCCCAAGGCGCCTTCTAGCTAAGAAAGTTACACCTCAATGAGATCAAGAATGTAAAGGGATAAATCCAGAGCCCGCAAATATTAGTTCCCTATTTTTGGAGGGAAAGGGCTCCTAGTTACTTGTAAATGAACAAATAGATGAGAAAAGTTAATACCTCCTATGAACAGTATGACTAGACTACCACATGCTGCGATTCACGGAAAGCAAAACAAAACAGAACAAAAAGTGAAGTTCATTAGCACTTAGTGACAGGCATGGCAAATGGATTTGGTTACCGTTCTGTTTACAAATCAGCAGAAGGGGAGAACACACACACACACACACACACACACATATCCAAAGGATGACGCACACAAATAGGGGGCCATCAAAATGTTTGTGGAATTTTTTTTCTTTTTAAAATAGTTTTTTGAAGCCCCTTTGTATATATTTGAGGAGGGTTTGACCAAGGCCAAAATGCAAGGATTCTTACCCTTAAACAGCTTTCATTCGCATTGTGCAAGACTACGGTACTCCAATTGCTCCAGCATTCCTGAGTGTTAATTTGCCTTTCTTTCCTGGTATTCCATTCCCCTTTCTCCTTTTCAATGGTGCTCGAGGGACTGTTCCTCTTCCACCTTCTCTTTAACTCATGTCACAAAGCACGGCACATTCACTTGGGAAGTCTCAGCAAGAGGGGGAAGTCAGAGTAAGAACATTAATAAGCTCGAGGAATAGATGGAAATATGAAAACATAAACCCTTGACTCCTGAATCCATAGAAACGTCGAGGTGAGGACGGGACGAGTGGAGGCCAGCGGGGAGGGGCCCTTGGAAAGAAGTACAGACGTTGGCCATGTCGAAGGAACTCGGAGGTGGCAGTTTGGCTCCCACATGCTGCCTCCTTCCTGCGATTCAGATCATAGCGAGACAGCTCGGACCGCTCAGAGAAGAGGTTAGTTACCAAGCCGTTCTCCAGCATGGGATCGCATTTCACTTCTACGCAGCACTCATTGTCTGGCATCTTTCTTCTTTGTTGGTTCTGCCCTTCCCCATCCTCACCCCCTCCTACAATGTAATTTCGATTTCCTCCAGGACAATAACCTGGTTCCAGTTATTGCCTGTCTCCCACTTCGAGAATAGCAGTGCTGTGATAGCAGGAATTTGACTGCTTTTGTTAGCACCCTTATGCCTCAAAGTCTGTATCTTGGAAACAGAAGGGGCACTCAATACTTAAATAAATATTTATGGGATCAAAAATTATACAACGACATCCTTTACCTCTTGGATTAACTACCTAGTGTAGCAATAACACAGATATCGTAGGTAGGTGACTTTAAAGAACAGAAACACGCTGTCTCATCGTTTCAAAGGCTAGCAGTCTAAGTCAAGGTCTCAGTCATGTACATTTCTTCCTTGTTGCTAGCTCCAGGTGCTTCTTGGTTCCTTTCTTTCTCGGTGATGTCACATGTTACCTGTCTTCCACCCTGTGTGCATCTCTGTGTCCATTCTGATCTTTTTATAATTCAGAAGTGATTAGGGTTAGGGTCCACTCCATACTAGAATGATCTCAACTGATTAATTCACTATATTATATTAGACTGCTTTATGGAAAGTAACCTGATCTACCCAAGGACAATTTGCTTAACCATACACAACTACTCCTGGGCAGCTGTTAGACTTGTGAGGATGGAAAGACTTTGTCTCACACACTTTGTAAATGTTGTCAGGAGGTCTCAGACCCTGGAGAAGGACATCATGCTTGGTAAGGCAAAGGGTCAGCAAAAATTAAGACCCTCAATGAGATGGATTGACACAATGCCTGCAACAATGAGCTCAACCATAACAATAATTGTAACGACGTCAGTGTCTCTTTCTGCTGTCAATAGGATCCCTATGAGTTGAAGCCAAGTTGATGGCTTCTACCACCACCACCAACAACAACAGAACAGCAAATGATGCACAGTACAACAAAATGGATTGTTAATGCAAAACAAAACCAAAAACGATGAATCACTTATAGAAATCAAAAATCCATTACCATTGAATCAATCCTTATAGCGTTGCTCTCCATCATATCATATAGCATACCTCATATGATATGATATCATATTATGACTGCTCTATAGAGTTTTCTTTACAGAAGCAGACTACCACATTTTCCCCTATGGAACTCTTGGTAGCTTTGAACTCCCAACCTTTTTCAGTTAATGACTAAGCCCGTAAGCAAGGCTCATGAATTATGTATATGCTCAACAAATAGATATCATTACATGATGTGATTTTTTTTTTAATCCGAGCCGACTTGATTCAGGCTTCTGAAAGTAAGAGTGGACACTGGTAATAGTTACACAAGGATGACAGACAAATCCAGGGGAGATTGAGTATAGCTTCATGCACTCCATGGGCCTTTTATAGAGCCCCCCAAACTACTCCTACATTTAAAAAACCTAAACAAAATACCTTGACCATGTATTAAACATATGGAAAGCAACTGATCCTGTTTGATTAACTGTTCATTTCTTATAATAAAGTTTACCTAGATTTTAATGCACGTTCTTATTATAGATAACCCTAAGAGCAGAAAGAGAATTTTATCTGGCAACTTGTCCTATTTTTGAAGGGTTCTAAACACTGTACGTCCCCAACCCTGAGCAAACAAATGAACCAAAATAGTAAAGTCTGATAGGTATCTTTTCTCAGTTAAAAATGTGCATTTCATATTTTCAGGATCACTCACCTTTTAAGGTTGACTTGGATGAGAGAGATTTTATCTGCAATCCTAGACCTTACTGAATGTGCCAGCAGGGAGTACAGTATTGAAAGGACTAGGAAGTCACCTTTGGGCTCAGCAGAAAGGCTGATCAGTTGCAGCTGGTGCTGTCTGCTGGGCACATGGGACAGGGAACAATGGGCACATGGGACAGGGAACAATGGCAGGTGTGGCAGGTACTCACCACCCCAGATTTGGAGAAACATGTTTTAATAGTAATTTTCTGGCACATAGCAGATATAAAATACCTGGTAGGTTAAAAATTTACAACTTGCAATTCCTGAATCTATTTCCTCTGGTGGGCTTTACTGCTGTGTGACTCATATACCAACTATACCACAGGAGAGCCAGGCCATTACCCTTAACTTGAGTGAAAACAGCAATCTCGTGATTTACACACATGAATGTTTTACAATTTGTAGTTCGAAATCCAAATAAATCAAATTTCTATTGAAAGGAAAAGCAAACCTTAGATGGCAATACAGCCTTTCCAAATCAATTTTAAGCACGCAGCTCTATTTTTCCCAAAGTAAAATCTTACTGAAATGTTCCTCCAAAATATTTTGTGGGAAATACGGGTTAATAGATGGCAACTCCTCGTTGGTGACCCCTAAGCAGGAGACGAGCTCATCAGGCAGAGTCTGCTCCGGAATAGTTCCACTGAGTGAACCATTTTCCAACAGCCCGCTGGTTTCCCCCTCGATTGAGTCTTGCACGTCACGAGGCTTGCATTCTCCCTGATTTAAAATGAGGCTTAATTCTTCAAGAATTAGTGCATTGCCTAGAGAATTCATACTGGAAACCGAAAAATCAAAATGTGGATATTTCTTCAATATGGCATTCTTTCCCAGATCCAAGGAATCGACTAACGGCTTAAGAGTTGAAGAATCTGTTTCCCCGTTATTACTAAGAGAGCTTTCCCCAGGAAGGAAGTTTGAAATCTGGGGTTTATAGCCAGTGTTGAGATCAGGGATATATACAACTGAAGAATTGACAAGTAATGACTCTTGCAAGCAGTCTCTTGTTCCCTGGGATTCGGTACCTGTTCCTTTCTTGTAGTCTGTGGGCTTACGTTCTTCGGAGAGAAAGGTTTCTCTTATCTCTGTTATCATGGGATCAGTATACAGGAACTGTTCACTAGAATTATTATTCATAAATTCACTTTTTTCCTAGGAAGATAAAAAATGTATAAATAAGAATAACAGACAATATTTTAAAAGTCTCACCAGATAATAGAATACGGACTGGAATTTTGCTTTCCTTCAACTTCCATTTGCCCCTTTTCTTTCCCCCATTGTCTACGTCCAATAATATCTCCTTGGCTTGCCTTTTGTTAGCCTGTTCAATTCTATGTCTATCAAATTCTCCTGTGAGTGGAACAAAGGAAAGAAATAATAAAAATAATCCATGTCTTTAGCATAGTCCTTGACGTAAAATTTTAAAAGAGAAATAGCCTTTCTTTCTTTTTTTTTTTTAAAAAAACATTTTATTGTGGTTTGGGTGAAAGTTTACAGAACAAACTATTTTCCAGAGAAATAGCCTTTCATAGGCGCCTGCATACTCACATGCATATTGTTTCAGGGCATTTTAACAAATGGAACTTGAAGTCTTAAGGCATGTGATGTAGCCTTACAACAAGAAAACACTTTGTTGCGTAAATGAAAGAAAGTGGGGGCAGACTCTTACTAGGCAGACACATTGAACATGAGGCTGCGATATGCTGTGTGCTGAGGTGCTAAGGAGTGCAGCTACTCACACCTGAGACGTGCTGGTGATGGTCAGGGAGTAAGTGAGGAAGGTTTTCATCTGACCCAAGGGACAACAAAGGACTTGAGGTTTTCCAGCTGATGGCTAGCTTCCCAGGACAAATAACTCCCACCAGTCACCCTTCTGTCTCTTAAGCAGAAAGCAGAACCTTATTCTGAAGGAGGCGCCAAAGATTAACTCTAATTCCACGAGTCCCGAATTGGAAGGGGGCTTGGGGAAAACAGAAGGCCTGGAAAGTTCCACCAACCTTAGCGTCTCCCAGGAACTTCACAGGTTCTGGCTGGGGTGGACATTCATTCAAAGGTCAAATGTACAGGCAAGCAGATATGTTTCAGGAAACGAAGGGGGCAGAGGTGGCTACAATCTGAGGAAGGCACACTTTGCCCAGCCCAGGTTGGGAACGGAGTGGAAAAGTGAGCTGAATCACAGCAGTGAAGGACACAGACAAGAGGGGACTTTCCAGAGTAAGGACAATAAAGGAAGAAGACCATGTGATCCCAATGAGGTCAGAGACTCTTCTCTCAGCATATACAGTTCTTCTGGGGTACCTCTTGGTAGAACTGTACCTACCAACTTTTAGTTAACAGCTAGACTGTTAACTGTTTGTATTCCCCAGGGACGCCTTAGTAGGTAACATTACTTCCTCCAGAATCAACCAGCCAGGTGAACAAGGAAACCTGTCCCAGACCCGATGACGCCATCTCCCATAGTCCTCAGGAAGGAAGAGGTAAGCCAAGCAGCTACACCTATAATCTCACATAAGAATTGACCCCTCTGAGCCTTCAAGGCTCATTTCATTGGCCTTCTCTGCCCAGCCCCCCC